ACCAGCGGCGGGGTGTTTTGGGGTGTCCAGGGTGGTTTTTGGGTATTTTTCTTAATCGGGGGCGTTCTGCGCGTTTCTTCCCCGCTCTGAGGAGTGACATTGTCTTGGTAGCACCTTCACAGCCGGTGCTGTCCCAAGGCTACATTGCCTGCCTCGGCTTCTTTCAATATTTTGGTTTTTTTATTTATTTAAGCTCATGAGGAAATGTATATAAGGGTAGCAAAGGCCCCCATTCCTTCTTAGAGAAGATGAAAAAGCAATCCCAGCCAGCGCAAAATTTAAATCTGACCTCATTCAGAAGTCAGTATTAGAGCAAAGTTGGAAAAGCTATAGCATAGGAAAGAAAAAAAAAAAAACCATGAAAATTGAAGGTTTATAGAATAGTGGTCCTTTAGCCTTTCTGTAGGTTTATGGGCAACCTGGTCTAGTGGGAGGTGTCTCTACCCATGGCAGGGGGGTGGGAACTCGGTGATCTTTAAGGTCCTTTCTGACCCAAACCATTCTATGATTTTACTATAGGTTTTACCATATCTAGACCAAGCCAAAGAGGGAAGGCTTTATGGTGGGATGCCCTAGCTGTGGTTTTGCTTACGTGTTTCCATAGAGAGCGTGCGAAGGAGTGAAATGCAATCTCTGTAGACAGATGCAACATGCAGTTTGGCTGCCAAACTCTAACATACTAATGAATGTCTGAAAAACATAAGTGAGCCAAATGTGGTAGATTTTTCATGGGAAAAAAATATCTTGAAACTAATGACACTTCCACAAAAAAAGTACAGAAAACGAATAAATAATTTCTGGCAAAAGTGTTTCAGCCTTTTTTTAATGTGAGAAAACAATTTATTTTCACCCAGTTTGATTTACCCCCAGAGGGGTGAATTCCTTGTGTTGGAAGAAAACTCCTATAACTCCTGCATCTGTTGATGCAGACATCTCGGGGTGGGGGGGAGTAAATGTGATTATGTTGTACAGGTCTGGGGAAGACTTTTCTATTTAGAAGTCATCAGAATGTTAATGCTGAGTAAAACTACTTGTATTTGCTTACAATATTCCCCTGACCTTCATTATTAAAATATTTTTATCAGGTGAAAATCTGTTTATGTGTTTTTGGCATTTAAAAATAAAAGTTGTAATTGCAATTATTTTGCCTTTTTATAGAAGATTTTTTTAAACATCAAATTCGGTGTCTACCAGTCTTGATAAATCCCACTTGATTTTTGAGGTTTGTCAGCATCAGTTTTTGACAGAGCAGATTACTTTGAGTCTTGACAAGACCACTGAATTTATTAGGCTTTATCTCGGAAACCTAGGTGTTGTTTTCATGCTTTGGTTTTTTATCTTCCAGAGTGTTTCCCTTCAGGGAATTTCAGTATGTATAATGCGTATAATTATCTTCAAAATCTATGAGTGTGCTGGCAAGCTTACTTTCTTCAGGCATACAAAAGGATCAGAGTCAACAAGATTAAACAGAAAGGGCTTGTGATAAACTGTATGAGATACGTAGCTTCACTGTCATTCTGATGATTTAGGAAGTTGGGGATTGGTTATTCGTGTGGTGATCAGCTAAAGATATCAGCAGTTTATATGGTAGAGTGGTCAGAGTATAATGAACATGGTATTCGTAGGTGAAGGTAACATCTTTTTACTACACAGCTGACATAGTTAAGAAGGGAAAAATAGAGCTTCTTGGCACTTGGGTCCCTTTACAGGGATTCATTGGGCCCTAAAATATCTGAAATGTTAGGAAGCTGGGAATTGGGAGTGAGGAATCCTTACCTTGCTGGTGCATAACACGCTGCTCCACGTGACACACCAGCTGCTCACAAACGCCTGTGTCGCTATATGCAGCCGTAGATCCTTCAGCGTCCAGATTTCTCTTGGGTAAGTTTGCCCAGAACCGTGAGATGCCTCCATAGGTATTGGAAGAATTCAGCAAGAGAGCTTTCTAGAGACAAAAATAAGTTGCCTGTGCAGTAGCTTAATTCCTACCAAATGCTTGTTGAAGTGCTCCTGATGGCAGTCCTGTGCCTCTCTTACTACTGCTGTGGAAAAAGGATTCTGTTGTAGCATAACCCACTTTTATCTGTCCTCATAAAGAAGTAGTACTAGGCACAGGTTAAAAAGACTTCCTAGGATGTTGTGTTTATTTAGGTTTTTAACATCACAAAGGACAGCAAAAGTCTCTTGTCTTTGAGATGAGGGTTAGAGCTTCAGTTACAGTCTGTAATAGCAGCAATCGTGAGAAAAGGATGCAGTCGGTGAGATATGTGAAATAATATGTAGATTCAGGCAATTTACAGGAAGTATATGAATTTCGGGATTTATTTGTGTATAGCTGTGACAATAAGGAACATTAGTTCACTCTTTATTTTTACTAATGAGTAACATTAGTAAAACAACGGACAAACATCAGTTCAGGAGAAGGTGCCTCTAGGGGGCAGTTGCTAAGTGATCCTGGCAAATCTGCCGCTATCCTACATCTTTTTGATGGACATATTTAGACCAAAACACAGGAGAAAATGTCTCCAACCAAAACCTCAGTTGTACCTTAAAGGTGCTGCTTTTAAAGTTCTGTTTCTGTGAGAGCAGAACAAGAATAACAATAACCAAAATTTCTCATTTTTTCTTAAGTTGTAAACTTACAAAAAACTGGCGAGCTTAAATTTGAAGAACATGAAATACATTACTATGTTTTAGCTGGAAATGGTCACAGAAAATAACTTTTTTTTTTTCACTAGTTTATAATCTAAAACCAGAAAAGTTGAGTTGTTTACCCATGACATTACCTCTGCTTTATTTGCTTTGGCATCAGCTGGATGCATGATTTTTATCATGGTAAAATGCATCATAAATACTACCATAAGAATGGCTCACCACAGTGGTGTGAAGTCAAGCACCGGGGAGAGATGACCTTTGTTTTTGGGTAGCAGTGCAAAGGATGGGGTTCAGACTGTTTCATGCCATAATGACACGTGGGGTGGGTGCCCAAGGGGATTCGCCCTTCGCTCGCTGAGACCAGACCAAACCACTGGCAAACTCTATAATGATCAAAGTATTCTGTTCTGAGCAATTTCTCATCCTCATGGTTCCTCTTCCACTAGTTTCAGAGTCCTAGAAAAATGAGAGAGTTGTTAATGTGTAAATCCAGCATGTGATTAAAGTGAGAATAAATTGCAAAGCTGTCTCTCCCACAAAATGCAGACATAATTGAGGTGGTGCTCTCAGTGGTGATGGCAGTATGGAATGCAAAGGCAAATACTTTCTTAAGTAGGGCCTATGTTGTCTGAGGTTTTTTTAGGTGAAAACTAGAACTTTTACAGGAGGTGGCATAAATCCTGAAATGCTGCCTGAATGTATTTTTGGCTATCCACTTGATTCATTGAACGTATAAAAAAATATTGGATGGATTATTTGATTTATGAGTCTTTATTTAAACATTTACACTGCTGTAGTACATTTTCCTTGCATTATTAATTTCTCTTTTTCTGCTTGGACACTTCATGCCATGTTATTAATGTATTTTCTTTTAATTTTCTTTTTAACGATAGACTTTCTGTGAATTTTGAACCCAGGATGGCTCAGAAGAGGAGCTCGAGTGGGCGGTCGTTCCCATTGCTGCTGCTCATTATTGTTGTGGCCTTTGTCCATTTAACTGTATGTCCTTTTACAAAAGTGGAGGAAAGCTTTAACCTACAAGCCATCCATGATGTGGTGTACCACCAGCTGGACTTAGATAAGGTAAATGGGGAGGAAAGTGTTCTTTCTTGAACACTGTTAAAGATCAGAATTCCCTGCTATACGAGTAAGATAAATGCAATGTGAATATGATTTATCCCAGTTTTCCTTTGTTTCTGATTTGCCTAGCTTACATAGATTTTCCTTTTTGCAGTATGACCATCATGAATTTCCTGGAGTTGTCCCAAGAACGTTCCTTGGACCAATTTTTATTGCTGCTCTTTCCAGCCCAGCTATATATGTACTTTCTGTGCTAAGAATGTCCAAGTTTTACTCCCAGTTGATAGGTATGAGAACTTTAAATCCTCAGAATAGAGATGTTTTTACTACTGGACTAATGGATGGCATGGTTGTAACATTCAGTGTTTGGACCAATGGTTAAAATATTCTTTTCCTTAATGATAGATTTTGCAAACTTAGAGCCAGTATGGCAATTTCACCCCCTCTTTGGGGTAACTAACAGCACGGAGAAGGTCTGTGCTAACAGATGTCAGACAGCATAGAAAAAGCAAGTGTCTTCAGAGAATACGCTCCCATGGGTATTTCTGTGTATTCTTCAGAGAGTATTGTTTAACTTGGGCATAGAAGCATCAATCTTTGTGCAAAAGTATCAGACGAATTAAAGGTGGATTAACATATGTAAACTAATGGGGAAGTTTGGTTTTTTTTTCTTCTTCAAGCGGGTTATACTGTGATATCTTCAGTATTATTCTTAATAACTTCTTCCCGTTACATTATGTAACGTGGTTGTTCATCAGTGATCTGTCTGATATTACTCTGATGTCCAATTTTTATTCTTCTAATAGTCCGAGGAAGCTTGGGGCTCAGTGTGATTTACACGTTATGGAAGTTGCAGAAAGAAGTTAGAAAACAGTTTGGAGCAACTACATCAACAATCTTCTGTCTCATCACTGTAACTCAATTTCATTTGATGTTTTACTGTACGCGGACCCTCCCTAATGTGTTTGCACTTCCTTTTGGTAAGTATTCACATAGGAATAATTTTAAAATATAAAAATTCTTAAATATATCAGTAGTTAAAGCACAGAAAATGTATGGTGAGACCAAATTAATATATGTACTTGGTTAAATAGTGTGATAACAAGACTAGAAAACTGAAACAGTTGTGATTTCTTTTTTTGTTTCTTTTTAACCATATATGCTTACGATGACTGCTTTATTGAACCTGAGCATATGTGGAGTTTGTAAGATGGTTTTGATTGACTAGGGGTTTGAGTACATGCATCTGATGCATAAAACATAGAGCTATTGAAAAGAGAGTAGGTGCACTTGCAGTTCAAAAAAAATCTGTGAATTTAGTCTGCACAGGAAGCAGCTTTCTCATGAGACTGTAGAACAAACTCCCACTGCAACATCTCCACCTTCTTCTGTAGTTATCTACAAATGTAGCAGTTTGTACACTTAAAGGAGAAAAAACAAAATCAAAGTCATAACCTGACTGTACGCATACAGTTTTTCCCCAGAGATGATGAGAGGGAAGATTAACCACATGTGACAGATATTAGCTGAGTCACTTAATGCTTCAGTGCAAGTTGTTCAACTAATAAAATCATGAGGTTGGTGTAAGAAGCTGTATAGATCTGAACTGAAAAACAAAACAAAAAGAAGTTGAATTGTCAGACAAATACTGTGTAGTGGTAAGCCTCTCAGATAATTTCTGCAGGTATTAAAAAATACAATTTTTTTTCATGTTTTTGTACTATTAATATTTCACACATTTTCCTTAGGATCATGACCACTTTACTATGTAGTCAGTGTTACCATGTGATTTAAAATGTGAAAAAGTAGAGGCAACTTCGTGTGTAGAGATACGGCGTGTCTCCAGCTCACCACGCAAATGCATTTATAGTTCTTTCTCCCTATTTGAAATGACTTGCTGTTATCCTGAATACAGGATATACTCAGCCAAGAGAATAAACTAACTCTTTAGCTGATACTGAGGAGTAATAATTATGAACCGTAGTTTGAAAGGCTTTTAGTACTCCCTTAAGGTTTCTTTTTTTTTCTTTTTTTCCCACAAAGCTATTAAATATACTGTCTAGGAAGAGTTCCCATGTGTTCCTTCTGTGCTTAGACTTTTCCTAGTTACTTAAGTGTCAAGAGCAGAACATTGTATGTTTTTCCAAATTACATTTCTCTAACAAAGAAAGAATTTCTGGACTAGGAACAGTAGAAAGACCAAGAGAAGATTGGTGGGAACTTAGAGGAACAAGACACTAGCATTGGCAAAAGTGTTGCCCTTTAGAAAATAAATAGTTCAGCATGTCAGATGGTGTTCTTTATTTGTTTTTGCAGTGCTCCTGGCATTGACATTTTGGATACAGCAAAAGCAAAGGCCATTCATTTGGTTCTCAGCTTTGGCAATTATAGTCTTCAGATCAGAGCTCTGCATATTCTTAGGCCTCATGCTCCTGGTGACATTATTAACTAAAAGAATCTCCATTTTCAAGGTGCTTTCTCATGCTGTTCCTGCTGGAATTTTTTGGTTGGGTAAGTGTTTGCTTGGAAAAAAACAAATGCCACATGTTAAATTGAACAGAAGTCTGGAAATTTGACTGATTTCTCTGGTGACCTGGCCTTTAGGGCTTTTTTTTTTTTCTGTTTGTTTCATTAATTCCATTTGGTAATAATATGAGAGGGTGTTTATTTCTTTGCAAATTTCCACATGAGGAAATATGTATGCACAGAACAGTAGAAACATACTGTGACCCCTGCCTTCGGATGTTTACAGTATGATGCCCTGGTCTTAAAAAGGCTTAGACATGCAAGTTGACTTTAGTATAATTAGTATTTGGTTGTAGCTACACGTGCATTATCAGTTGTAGTATCTATTGCCATGACGATAGGCTGAATCCCAGGATAAAATATAAGAGTGTGACAGGCAGGGATATTGAGCGAGAGGGTTGTGGGGATTGTCATGTTCAGCCCTGTTTCTTTATTACATTAATTTTAATAGTTTGTCATTATCTATGCTAGAGAGGTTGAAAAATCTCCTTGTCTCTACCCCTTCCATGGAAGGCTCATGCATATGCACGAATACTCTATGATTCTCTGCCAGACTTCCTAATTAAAAATGCTATGGTCAGATGCCTGACAATGACATCTGGTAGTGTGCTGTTCCTTCCACAGCATGGACAGTAGAAACAATAAAAGATCATGCCATGTGAATTTAGAGGCACCTCACAGCGTAAGAGTTTGGAGGTCCAATGGCAATTAGTTACTGGTACTCCCATTTCCCCTCCGGGCAAACTTCTTAAATACCAGAGCAGTTTTCATAGAGCTGAGTGGAGGAGATGGGGCTGAAGGATTGGGTGCTCTTCTGTCCTTTTGCCTTTCATCCTTTATCCCCCTCCTCCCCTCCCATCTAATAAATAGTAGCAAACTTCTGGACCATTCATTGCATTTAATGCTCTAATAGGCTTTTAAAACAAACCTTAATTAAACCACTGCTTTCACACCTGGGATTGGAGTGCGGTGGAACAGATTCAATCAGATTCCTGTTAATCAGATTCCTATCTAACATGCTTGTGTTAAGACAAACATTAAGAAGTGCCTCCCTCCCCTGCGTTTCCACTGCAAGACAGACAGATTCAACCTTCTCTGTGGCTTTGGGTGGTCACGGCTTACAGTGCATGTTTGGTTTATGTTGATCTCATCAGTAAACGTGCAGTTTGGATGTGCTAGTTTGCTTTCCCTAGTTTTTAATTCACGCAGATTTGTATTTTTTTAATTCACGCAGATTTGTATTTCTTTAATTCTTTTAGGGCTGACAGTTGCTGTGGATTCTCTATTTTGGAGGCAACTTGTGTGGCCTGAGGGGAAAGTGCTCTGGTATAACACAATTTTGAACAAAAGTTCCAACTGGGGAGTATCCTTTGAAACGTCCAGGGAAAAAGATATATTGAACACTACCAGCCAAAGCAAAGACATGATGTAACCTATTCTTGAGACTCAGTTATGGTGTTAAATTCTACTTCTCATCTAGTATTTTGTTATTTGAAGCTTATGAGACAATGTCTGTTTCTTAGATCTTTCCATAAATTTTAACTTTCCACTGCTGACTGTTCCTTCTTGCTACTTTGTGTTCTACCAATGTAAAGCCAGGTTTCTTCCCCTTGCTTTGTCATGTTGCCCATCATTAGCGCCACTTGATGTGCCTAGTGTTGAGTGATGTGAATGTAGTTAGGCAACTGCTTTTATTTCTTAAAGGGTAAGGAGGGAAAACAAATGCCTAGAAGAATGTGATATAGAAAAAGTATACTGCGTTTTTTGCAAAATTTGCATGTAGTACTGTAAAGAGTAGTTACTTGCTAAAAGTGAAAGCATCCTTAACTGTCCTTTTCACCTTGAAGACCTCTCCCTTCTTGTGGTATTTCTATTCAGCCCTGCCTCGTGCTTTGGGATGCAGCATTATATTTGTACCTTTAGGTGTAGCAGAAAAGAGAACTCGGATATTACTTTTGCCAGCACTGGGCTTTATTTTCTTGTATTCATTTCTCCCGCACAAAGAGCTGCGTTTTATCATATATACTTTCCCTGTCTTCAACATAGTGGCTGCTAAAATGTGTTCACGAATGTAAGTTCAAAATTCTGTTGTGTTTTTTTTTTTTCTCTGAAAATGCAAAACTTGTTATTACTATTTTTATACACTTGAAATCTGGATCATTTGGGGATCTTTATGTCTGGCTTTAGAAAGATTTGTATCATTGTACCCATTTGACTAATGAGGGAAATGGAGACATAGAAGAGTTAAATGATTTGACAGGACCATTTGGCAAGTCTGGGATAGAGTTGAGAATAGAGCCTGGATTTTACTGTTATGCTCTTACATTTCAGTTTATTTTATCCACCAGAGAAAAAGACACATTCCAGTGTAGTACTGTGTTGTTACCGTAAATTACCTTAGGAGATAGTTTAATATACAGGTGGGGCTCATGAAACACGGAGTTTGTATTAAATAGTTAAACTTGGGTATATTGAGTAAACAAATTGGAGTTAAACTGTGAATTTCTTTGAAAGAGAATATATTCATAGCTAAAGGTTTTAAACACAGAAATACTTAGCTTTACCGATGAGTTTATATTAGCTTTATTAATGAGAATATTCTAGTTTACATGTCACTAGAAGCTAGTCTTCTAGAAATGGATAATAAATGCATTCCATACACGTGGAATAATAAAGTTTGCATTAATCTTTATTACCTAGTAATGGAATTTTCATAAAAGTTATGTCACAATAGTCAATGACCAGTATGAAACAAAAACAACAGTTTGTTCTTACTCATTTTTCCCCCTCCCTCAACAGTCTGAATAACTACCGGAAATCCTGGCTGTACAAACTTGGATCTTTCTTTGTTATAACGCATCTTCTAGTTAATGCTGCTTATTCAGGAACATCTTTATATGTTTCACATTTCAATTATCCTGGAGGAGTGGCAATTCAGAAGTTGCATGAGTTGGTACCTTCAACAGCAGGTACGTAAAGCTGGTTTGAGGTATGTTTGTCTAACTTCAGTTGCAGGGGTTTTTTTTGCTAGTGCATCTTTATATGTATTGGATATTACTACTTCACGCTATTTACATGCATCTCTCTGTTACTGTTTTGTTAATTTATTTATCAGTGTTTTTAGAAGAATTTTGAAACTGTGTTTTGTTTTCTGTATTTACGTAGACGTCTCTGTTCATATTGACGTGGCTGCAGCACAGACAGGAGTTTCTCGGTTTCTAGAAATCAATTCAGATTGGAGGTACGTTATGAACAAGGTATTTTGATCTGAAGACAGGAGACTGCTTTTTTTCTTTTTTCCTGTGTGCACATGGACAAGCATCACAGATATGGTTTGTAGTATAGCATATTTATTAAGCCAGGTCAAGAACAATGTGAATCTTCAGAGAATTTTGGCGTATTGCAGTGCTGCCATTTCAGAAATCAAGCACTGCAATAGTCTTTTAGTTGTTTTTGTTGCTTCTGGTTTGCCTAAATAATGTAGAATCTTTTAAAGACATCAGAAACAGTGGAAAAAAATGTTAGCTTACTAAGACACCATTATCTTTAATGCAGTTAAGTTTGATATCTCACTAGATCTTGTATAAAACAGCTGTAAATGAACATTTTTTTGCTCTTGGCAGAACAGTGTATATAATTGTGGGGATATTGTCTCTCATTTTATTTGTTTTTAAATGATGCGTGGCATTGTGAGGCTTATCTGTGTATTAATATTCAAAGTCTATTTTTACATGGAACATCCTTCACGTAGATAGCATTGAAGCTGCTGTTGTGGACTATGGGTCACACTAGCTCTGAGAGAAAGCAGTGGAGTGCTTTGTTACTGACCAGCAGTAATGTCCAAACAGTTTTAGGAATCAGAATATTTAAACTAATACAAAGAGACATTTGTGGGATGGCATTGTTTGCTTTTCAGGACGCAGACTTAAAAAAGGGTGCCTTTCTGATACTTAGGCCTACCTCTTCAGCTGAAGCGTAGGCTTCTAATTTAAAATGTCATCTTAATGAAAATGATTCAGCAGAAACTGCCACAAAGCCTTACTTCATACTTGTACAAAACAAAAGCAATAGAAGCAGATTTGGTTTAAGAAGTGCTCTGAGCATGGAGGTTTTTTTCCCCAGTTACAGTCTCCAGGATCAGAGGAACAAACATCATTTAATTATTGGTATGTTTAGAGAGAAAAGTATTTTGGAAGTAAAGAGGAAGAAGGGAATGCTTCTGGGGGAATTATAAAAATCATCAAGCTTGCTATGCCTTACTTTATTTCTGTGCTTTCTCATATTATTGTGATATGAATGATATGAGCAGTGTAAATCTAAGTTGCCTTCACAGTTCCCAATCCAATGCTTATTTCAAATTGTTTTTTCAGTGTTGGATCTAGAGAAAGTCTTAAACCATGAACATTCAGGAGAAGACATTAAACTATCAGACTGCAAGTGATAGTACACGCATGATAGCTAAAATGTTCTACTCTGTTTTTTGAATATACTTAAGTAAACACACTACTCTAAACACAACTCTACCCTCTAAATACAGTGCTTGATTTCAATGAGCTTTTTTAGGTGGTGGGTTCTGGATTGTTTTGGGCTTGCAAGGCTGTAGTGTAGTGGGATTGGAAGGTGAACGAATAATATCCTTGTCACTGATGGATGTTTCATAGTGTTGCAGCTACAGACCAGTTTGTGTCTCTTGCTTTTATCTTTACTCATCATACAAAAGGGCTGATTTGTCATTAAATTTCACATTAAAAAAAAATCAGGCAAAATCCACAACTGAGCATCATACCAGGACTACCACTTTGTCTGACAGCACAGTAGTGCAAAGTTTCGTGGCAACGGCTGTCCATTTTCTTTTTATCCGAGGAAGTGATGGCCTTTCAGATGGGTGAAAACTAATTTACCATCTTCATAGACTGTGTTCATCAGGTGAAAACAGATTTATGGATGGAGTGGCTATGAAGGCTGATGATTCATCAGGTTAACTACATTCCATAAATAAAAGTGTCTTAAAGTTAACAGCTTTCAGTAGTGTGCTCAGATTAGATCTACTTGCCTCAAGAAAAATGCAAGTGATCCATTATTTTTCTTCAAAGGGTGACTGAAAGCAGCTTGATACAGATTCTGACACAGAACAGGTGTTATAATCTTGTCTTCAATTAGTGTGGTCTCTTTGAACCAGGAATAAATATGCTGTGTAAGCATGAAGTATTTAAAAATAATAAAATTCAGAAATGATTGCAGCCAGATGAAAGGCCCTTTATTTGCTGATGAAGAAAATACAAAATTAGTAATTGGTAAAGTTGATACGAAGTATGCTATTCCTTCTGCTGGTTTGGATGCATGTACCATTGCAAGTGGTCTTGTGATCTTTTTGGAAATAGTATATGAAATTAGTGCACAGTTTTTTTAGAAGACGAAAGCACTTGTTAAGTGTGCAAAGTCTAATTCTGTATTATATGGTATATTTATTGACACTTCTGGATTCTGTCAGCCTGTTCTGGATTGCCAAAATTTTAGTTAACAATCAATACAAATCCTCTAGTTTGCTGTAGAGTACTTGCTTTTAGTACCTGAATGAGTGGTATGTCAGAGAGTATTGTAAAAATATAAATTGAAATTAAGGTTTCCAGTTATTCACAGAGAATTCAGAAAGATGACAGGCCAGGTCTGCAAAGATACTTGTGGCAAAAGAATGAAGCCTGGATTTACTTCTAGGTGCATTTAAGAATATGTAGTGGTTGCACCACTTCCTTACCAGTGTCCATGCCTGTAAGAAAAGCCACAGCCTTGAGTAAGTTCCTTGTGAAATGAATGGGAGACATCAGGTGCCTAAGAACAGGGGCTCCAAAAGCTGGTAGAAAATGGTTCACAGAAAAGGGCAATAGAAAAGCAGAAGCACTGGGAACTGCTCTTTTCTTGGGTAACAGAGCATGGACTGTCTTTTATAGTTAGATGCGCAAGACTCTCTCGTCATAGACACACATAAAAGTAAGCAAACTCCATCTTCACCTCTGTCTTCTGGACAGTATTAGTGTGTAAGTTTTTCTGGGATATAAAACGACTATTTGAATCCAGGTCTCCCCCTTTTGGAAGCACAGTTAACAGTGGTCTACAGGGTGTTTTGGCGTAGACTTCTCTTATTTTTCACCTTTGAAGTTGTTGGATTGAGGATGTGATCAAGCTGCCGTGTCCAATATAAGCATCCGAACCCTTGGGCTATAAATTCCACCTGACTCTCTTCAGTGTCTTCATGAGACAGTGAGGGAGATCTGCCTCAATTTCTAGAAAATTAGAAAGGTTCTTACAGCTCTGTGAGATAACAAACTTCAGTTCTGGGTTTAGATCAGATGGAGAGTGGCGGAACCTAGATATTTCACATCCCTGCCAAATGCTTAAGTCACTTGTTTTCTCATCCTCTATGGCTAGATTAAATGTATCTCCTTTTAAGAAATAACTGTAAGTGTACATGTTAAGTAGCTTTAGAACTCAGAGTTACTTCTGATATTTTTAATTTTTTTTTTATATACAGTTTTTATATAGGTGCATAAGCAGGTTTATAAAAGCTGACCCAAAGTGACTTGCCCAAACATGCAGTACATCAGGGAACTGAACCCAGAAATAACAAGTGTCAAGCTAATACTATAATTGCCAGGCTGTTCTTTCTTTCCTGCAGTGCTCAAGGAAATCTTCTCCCTGCTATTCTCTGAGGCTCCTACTTTAATGCATGACTACCAGAAAAGAAGGGTTTCTGCTAAAGTGCCTCATAACATTTATTTTATTTTAATGAAAAAAAGTATAAAAAAAAAAACAAAAAAAACCCAACACCAAAACCTGCACTTATCCAAACTGCAGTTCTTGTGGGGTAAAACATAAAAATGAGTCCAGTTTTCTACAGTTTTAGGCTTTGGTGCCCTTTCTCCAGAGAACTCAAACAGAGGACTAGTGAGAAACTTTCTAGCAGTTCTGTTTTATATCGCAATAGCAGCAGAAAGACATGCATGGAATGACTGGCTCCCTAAACTCTTCAAAAATACTGTTTTCTCCTCCAGTACTAGTTAATGTAATCAGGAGATATAACTGAGAATGTTACAGTTCCTTTTGTGTTTCATCTTAGATGCTGCATGCCCTTGCGATAAAGGAGATGTTTAATATGTAAAGAAAGGAATGTAAATAAGCCTTCTTTATTCTTTACAGGTATGACAAAAGAGAAGATATAAAACCAGGAGACCAGTTGATGTTTTCTTACACACACATACTGATGGAAACAAACCCTCTTCAAATATCACATTACAAGACAACCCACAGGCCACTGGCAAATATACCTGGCATCAGTAAAATTGGGTTGAACCTTACTGCGCTACCTCCTTTTACTTTAAACTTGAAACCAAAATTAGTACTGTTGGAAAAACTTCCTCTATCATCTTGACTGTGAATTTTAAGTAAGTTTTTTGATGTAATTTTGCTGATGACTGAATAATCTAAGACAGCAGCCAGTTGTCATTCCAGCACTGCAATTCAGCTTCTGTGGAAAGGCACGGAAAATCTTTGTACCGATTGGTATTTAGCTCCGTCCTGTTTCTTACGTAAATATTACAATGCATTCCTAGTCAGTATATACTCAAATACTGAGTTGTATTGTTAGATACGTTTGAGAGAGGCTATCTACAAGTTTAGTGGTAATAAGTAAAACCTGTTGACTTGGTTTGGGTAGCTGTTTCATAATGTAGCGCAGGTATGTCCTAATTGTCCTATATAAGATACATAATGGAACAGGTTTGTGCTACGGCAACAATTTGATACGTACTCTGTGTGTGCAAAGATGTATTACTTGATGTATCTGCAGGATTGTAACCCCATCAGTTGTCAGATTGCCTGTGTGAAACTTAATGATGTTATCTACATAGGAAAGCCATATTCATTGTAGCTTCATCACAATATCTAATTGTGCCCTGTAGGCTACTGTGCTAATTAAAGTGAAAGATTCGCTTAAAAAGCAGTTGGACCTCTTCACAAGCACTGTCTCAAACAGACTTGAGTATTAAAGGATGGTTATCTTTATCCCAACAGTTCATGAATAAGGAGCAACTTGAATTTCGCAGGAAAAAGAAATTTTAAAATAATTTTTCTCTCTTCTGCTGCAATGATATTATCTGATTTTGCAGTGCAAAAATTTACCTATGAAAATATTCACTTGAATACGCTTTAGGAAGAAAGGTGCTGTTTTCTTTTTTTTTATTTAGTAGTCCCTTTGGAAAGGAATTACCTAATGTGCCATGTGTTGCATTCTATAGAATAAGATAGCATGCTCTGTAGTCTCTTCTTTATTAAATGTTTTTTGTTAAGGATGTTTACCTAGATTACTGAATGGAACAAGTTAAGGGTTAAACTAAGGAAAAAAAGTTAGTGTTTTGGTTAGGGCCAGTTGTAATATGATAGGAGCTCCATTAGTGTAAAAAATCAGTATTACCGAAATAATCACGGGCAGAAAACTATTCCTTGCTGACTGAAAACTCCAGTAAAAAATTCTTATTGAATAAAGTTGTTTGGGTTCTTTTTTTAACTCTTAAAGTGTGCTTCATTCAGGAACTACCTTTATTCGTGTTAAGTTTCATCTTTTAGGCCATGTTTTCTTTTTGTCCTCTAGATTATGTATCGGAGGAACTGATCTGGTGGGGTGGAGCCTGCTCCCCTGTGGGTGGCTGTTGCTGTTGTGCAGGCTTTCTCTTGCTGAGCAGATCTGGCAAAGGCACCTGCAGAACTTGTTGGTCCAGTCCCTGGCTGTTCTTGAAATTGAAATCATTCAAGTATTATCTATTTGACTTGTCTTTAGAAGAAAACTCAGCTTCCTCCAGAGCCAATCTGAACATCAAACAATTCATGAGAGACAGAAGGAAGTACATGTGCAAATAGCTGAGACTTTGGAACAATACAAAGGAAAACCTTTGAGTAAGGATGTAGGCCCGTGTGTTGTCTAATCATTGACTTTATGTAACTCCCCCATGCTGTAATCCACAACTCAAGAACCTAAAGTCTATCCTGCCCAAGTGCAGACAAACATCTGCGCTGTTGAGTTAAACGTATAGTTACTCCAGCTTTCCACGTCCCTGGGTGTCAGAATCCCTCTGCAGAAACTTGCTTCTATTAACTACAGGAAAAAAAACTAGGGCTCTTATGCTTGTAACATAGGCATCTTGAGGTAGTGCCTGAAATGGCACAGAACACATGGATTTGAGGCATCTGGAGAGTTTAATCTTGCTGAATGTCTGGTCACGTGTGTCGAAGGACACACGTAGTTGATCAGGTCCTTCCACAGACTTTGGTTCTGGTGTTTGGGTGCTACCTGTTGGATTGAGACCAGTGGTGGTGGTCAGATGTGGTAGTAGTGTGTACTGCTGCTCACAGCCTCACTGCTGGTGAAAATAGAAGCCATCAGCTCAAATTGGCCTGTTCAGTCCATTTGTTTAGGGCAGAGATGGAAGAGATACTGGATTGCAGTTTCGAACAGTGTCTGGAGTTTATTTAGCTCTTGGTGAATCTTGCTCTGCTTATGTGGTTCTTGAAGAGTGCTTAGTTTTAAGGTGTGCAGCGTGGTTGGGGGTGTAGCCAAAGGGCTGGTTCCTGACCCACGCAGTGGATGCAGCACTGCAACACCAGTGGCTGCGTGATGTCTTGACAGCACAGGTGACCCCCAACCACAGGGAAGGAGTGTTACGGTAGCCCATGCCCTGAAGAGGAATGGGCATCTGTCAAACTGGGATGATGATTACTGCAGTTTTTCCCCAAACTCTGCTCTCGATAAACAAATTACTTGGAATGGAAACTACGGCTATCTCTATCTTAAACTTTTTTAGCTTTTTTCTTAGGCTTTCTTTAGCTCCACAAGAAATAGAGAGCTTATTTTCCCCTTCAGTGTACTCGCATAGAAGGAAGTGTGGGTTTAAATTTCCTTAGATCTAAGAGGGCATTAAGGAAGTTTGTCACCCCATCTACAAACTCGAAATGGGGTATTAGAAATTCTTCTGCATTTGGGAGACATGGAGCGAGGCCTCAAGTTACCGAGAATGGTGCAAGTCAGAGAGACTCTGAAAACTTCTTGGGGAATTTTTGAAGGGACTTGAAAGTAATAAATTGGTCATGGCTAGTCAAGTTCTTAAAAGAAAGATTCCTTACAAACAACTCCAGCTTTTCTTAATAAAAGCAAAAATAGGGTGAACGTATTCAAATAATTGAGGGTTGAATTAACCTGAATAAATCAAAAGACAGTAAAGTCCATCTATAAATTGTTACATTCATGACATCTAAACACAGAATGGAGTTGTAAATAAAATGCATTTAACACGTATAATATTGCTGTAGAATGAGATTTATTGTAGGATGTCTTGCTAAACTCCCCAAAGGTCAGAAGTTGGCATCGCATCATGCACTGCCTTCTGAAATTTGACTTAATTTCTTGCAAGCAACATTTGTTCCTGTAAACAGGAAGGCTCAAAAATGATTTGGACACAAACATGTCACCATGTCATTTCACCCAGAGATGGTGAATAATCACTGTCTTACAGCATGAGATTTAGGACACTGTTGTGAAACGAAATAAAAGGAACCACATGAAAAAAGTTGTGGAACTCGCTGATGGAGAACGTTTTTGGATGATGAAAGTAAAAGCAGCTTCAAAACAGGGTTAAACAGATCACTCTCCCATCAAGAACTAGAATAACCAAAGATCAAAGAACAACTTCCATTTTACAAAGTCTTTAGGTAATAGACCTTTCAGAGCTGGGAAAAAATATATCAGACCGTATTTCCCTTATACCTGCCCTAAGTACTTGCTATGGGTCTTCTCTTTCAAGCTATTTTGGGGTGAGGGGACCTGGAGAATGATTGTATTGGATCTGATGTAAAATACATCTCTCTGTTAACAATGAGAAAAGCCAGAATGTGTTTCAGGTTCTTCCCTTTGCCATCCATTTCACTTCAGCCATCAGAACACAGCCTCAACACAATGGAACTGCTCAACACATTCTGAAACACTGATCACACCCCTTTCTCTCACTCCCTGACCATTTTGCATGTCCCCTTGGTGAGACTGGGGACACTGAGATTGTACTGCCTCCCCTGCTACAGCTGCTCTAGGACCAGCCCTATCTTCCTCAATAGGGATAGTTCTTTCCATAATGCTGAAAAGCTTCAAGGATGATAAAAGATTTAAGCACTTGTTTGCTGTATCTCTTTCAATGCACATGCGTTTCCTTTGAGTCCAAGAGCCCTTTTCCATGCCCAACAGAAATTATACACAAGTCTAGGTGCTGCCTTCCCTGCTTCTTCTTAAATACTCTGCTTCACCACTTCCCCCGAGAACTTTCCTTGTAACTTGGTGTTCTGAGTCTTTCTTGTACAAATGACTTCACTTTCTATTTGCAAGAGAAGAGCAAAAACACAGCCCGAGCCCATTGCCCACATGAGCCAGGCTGTTTGGCCACAGCCTGCCCAGTTGGCCCGTTACACAATTCGTCTCAGCTATGGCTTAAATGAAACGTATGGCTTATCTGCTTAACATGTGACACAGCAGATTAAAAGGGTGTTTGCAAAAACTCCTGAAGTTAAACGACAAAGAACACCTCCATGAAGATGTTCTTTGGTTTTTATTTAAATATGACTCCTAAAGTAAATAATTGATCCATTTTGTATGTGACTACTTACTTGAGATCAGCCCTTCAGATCAACACAGCTACTTGTGATGGTTCATTTCATACCTTTGTTTATTCCAGCAAGGACAGGCTATGATATGATACGATATTTATGACAGGCTGAGAGAGAGCTGGGATTGTTCAGCCTGGAGAAGAGAAGGCTCCAGGGAGACCTTATAAGGGCCTTCCAGTGTCTGAAGGGGGCCTACAGGAGAGATGGGGAGGGACTCTTTATGAGGGAATGTAGCAATAAGACAAGGGGTAATGGCTTCAAACTGAAAGAGGGGAGATTTAGATGAGATCTTAGGACAAAATTCTTTACTGTGGGGGTGGTGAGACCCTGGAACAAGTTGTCCAGAGAAGCTGTGGATGCCCCATCCCTGGGGGTGTTCAAGGCCAGGCTGGATGGGGCTTTGAGCAACCTGCTCTGGTGGGAGGTGTCCCTGCCCATGGCAGGGGGGTTGGAACTAGATGACCTTAAAAGGTCCCTTCCAACCCAAACCATTCCATGATTCTATTGCAGAAAGTGTTTTTCTGAAATCCTACATCTTACGGTGTGGGGCAGTCTTTCACCAATTCAGCTTTTTTTCAGCTGCAGCTGCCCTTGGTTCTGTACCGAGGCTTGGTTTGTGTCCAGTTATGTCAAATGCAAGGTAAAAACTGTCAGAAATGAAGTCTGTCTTTTCCTTTAAAACTGCCAATTGGAAAGCAGGAATTGGTTCATGCAGTTTAAAAAAAAAAAAGCAGGAACTGCTTAGGTATCGATCTAGCCCTTGGAAGCCAAGTTGATACTTGAGTTGGTGACATCGCTGCGGTTACTATTTCTGGTTGGCATATTCCTGTTGTGAAATGAAGCACTTTAGGGTCAGTTTTGCAAGGAAGCCAAGAAGGTAAAGAATCACTTTTTCTCGTGGCTAAGAATAAAGCAAAGGATGAATATATTTGTGGAAAAACTAAAATGCCTAGTTTATAAAATCTAAATAATATGTAATTAGAAAGTGCTATTTGCTAATTATATGTTTATTTTTCCTGTGTTTAGAGATTCCTAAATGCAAGTTTGTCATGGTCAGCTCTATATAGTGGCAGGAAAAAAAATATGCTACTTTAAGGGACAAATCTCTCAGCAACTGTAAACATCTACTTTGAGCTTGTTGTCTTTGAAAAGGCTGTTGCAGATCTCTATTTCTTACCCTTCCTACCTCTAGTATTACAAAATATTTCTTGCTGCAGTGTCTAATCAGTTGTTACACCCTGCCTACTCTTAAAAGAAGCAAGATCTGGAAGATTCTTGCTGTGACATTGGTGCATCACCTTTAGTACCATCTACACTTTCTATGCTGAGGGGAAAAAAAGTCTGCTTACAACATTTAATTCTGAAGTTGCCAACGTACTGAAATTAACTGTTCAAATAATTTAATATCACTGTTGCAGGTTCGCCATATCCTTATGCATTAGGGAACTGTCGGCTGCTGCAGGGACCGGTGCAGCACAAGCTCATCTTGATGAAAATTCCCACTGTTGACAGAGAATGTAATGATAAGGGAGTTCATTTTCTTTCCAACTCTTCTCATATTTGTAACGTTGGGAAAAAAAAAATTAACAATCACTAAGAATTTATATTAAAAATAATAAAGTAAATCCAACACAAACCCCACCCACTCGACAACTTACCTTAATACTTCAATGAAAACCTTCAGCCCTTCTTTTGAAGTCATTCTTTTCTCAAAGGAGCAGTGAAGGCTGTACTGAAGATAGAGATGCTCCCGTAGAAGCATAGAAGGATCAAGGTTTACATCCAAAAAATAGCAGCATTGTGCATTCAGTCTCTCCTTTTTTTAAGAATTACATCTTTCAATTTTAACCCTTACCGAAACAGTGTGG